TGTTTTCTGACAAAGTTGTTTCCAGTCAAGCCTCATTGAGCTTTGCTGAGATCTCACCTAGGTAAGTCACTTTCTGTATCTAGTAATTTTTTAAAAAACAATACTTTATTGACTGCTTTTAAGATTAAGAGTCAAAGTTTAAAATGGTACTAAGCATTAAGAAATTTAATAAGTTTAATATGTATTTTGTCTATGTCTTTGTCTTATCTTCCCATCCAAACCCTACAGATAGGTGGGATTTTTTTTATCTTCCTCACAGTATCTGTGTTCTACACACATAGAAGTTGCTGTAAAAATAAATTTTAAAGTAACCCCACTTGTTTTGGATAACCTCTCCATATTACTTTCCCCAGTGCTTCACAGGAATGTTGTCCCTCTCCTATCACTTATCCTATTTATCGCTCTATGATTTCCATATTCTCCCCACTTCACTTTCTTCTTTGACCTTTCTTTGTTTCACTCCCTCTAGCTTTAAGTGGGATTGAGGCCCTATGCATCTCTGTATTGGGTGCTTAGAATAAGAACAAGGCTAAAACAAAGCCCTTGCCCTCTAGGACCTCACAGCTTACTAGGGGTCAAAGATAAATGAAAAAAAAAATGACCATAAGGGCAACAAGTTCTATAATTGAAATGCACACAGTGTGCTGTTAGAGATAAGGCAGGCAAAGTGAACTACCTCTGACCTAGATGAGCTGGAGGAGCCTTCTCAGCAGAAAGGATGCATACAATTTCAACAGGCCAAGAAAGAAGGGAAGGTAATACAGAGTAAATATGTACAAAGGCACAAAAGCATGAAAGGAAGAGCAAGAAGATTAGTGTATCTAGAATGAGGAATCACAAGATGAATGTTTAAATCTAGGTTGAGGACACAGATAGGGTTTGTTTGTGATGGATATGGTATGCCAGGCTAAGAAGGTCAGACTGTATTCTATGCCAAGAGGGAGCCAGTGAAAGTTTATTTTAGAAAGAAAACAACCCTGATAGAATTTATTGCTTTGCCTGTTCTGTCTCTCATATTCTACTCTCTCCCTCCCTCCCTCCCTCCCTGTCTCCTCTCTCTCTCTCTCTCTCTCTCTCTCTCCCTCTCACAAACACACACACATACACACACACACTCACACACACAAACACTCATTTCTTATATTTACTTTTTCCTAACATATGAATTCAGAATCAACTTATAAATTGAATCTTCTATCCCAATCCTATTTATTCAATTTTGTTTCCTCTCACTCCCTTGAACCATCTTACCCAAAGGCCCCTCCCACTCTGATCTAACAATGGAGCTCCTATCTATGTCAATTTCTTTGCCTGAGAATAAACCAAAGTTCACCACTCCCCAGACACCTCCCTCCTCTCTCCTTCTAGAGTCCTGAGTCTACACTATAGCTTCTAGCACTTTGTTACTGTATAGTGTTCCATAGTTTTCTAATTATCAATGTCCCCCTTCTCACCTCTACTAAACATAAATTATCAGGAAGCTTGAAAGTAAGCTCAAATAAGATGAAGGATCACACATGTCTTTCTCACCACTGTATCCCATATGCTTGCCTTCTAGTAGATGACCAATAAAGATTCCTGAACACACACAATTGTAATTAAGAATATTTTTGCTTGATGTCTGTCTCCTCCACTCCATAAAGGCAGGGATTTTTATACATTTTGTTCATTGATGTCTCTCAAGCACCTAAAACAATGTGAGGCACATAACAAATGCTCAACAAATATTTGTTGAATTAATTAGGATGTCAGGGATTTTGTCTTGTTCCCCACTATATTCACCATCTCTGTGTGACACAGTAGATGCTTGATAAATTTATTGAATGAATTAGGTCAAGGTCATGTCTTCTGTTACTCTATTGCTGTCACAGTTTTGAACACATGGCACATATTCAATATGTATTTGTGATTAATTGGATATGAAATAGTTTCAGGCTGGTTACTAAACTTTGTATTATTTTAAGTACAGTTCTTCCCTTGATGACTGAGAAGGAGTTACCAATTTGCTTATACACATTGAAGAAAAACCCTTTCAACAATGGTTAAACATTTTTTCATCTACAACCACTAATTTTTCAAGAGATATAAATATCAACTTTGAGGAAATAAAGTAAAGATCCAGTCTGTACTACTCAAGAATAATCTCATTACTGAATATCAAGATGAAGAAAGCTTGTTTAGTTAAGAGAAACAGCTCTCCATCAGAGATGACTGGTAACTATTTAGCAATGGGGCTACAAATTTGCCTTGCATGTATCATTTAGATTTGCTTAAAATCATCCCACAAAAGCTTCTCTAGGCATGCTTTTCCTCCATTCTTAATATGAAAAATCAGTCTTGATTCTTCTGGCAAGAAAGGCATGGTAAAGTTAGTGAGGTAGCTCAGTTGTAGAATGCTTGACTGTCATGTGGGAGGCCCTGGGTTCAATTCCTAACGCCACACACAAAGTGCATGTTATTTATTTATTTATTTATTTATTTTGGTAAAGATAATTTTATCAGAAACTGAAGTCCTGATAAATTAGGTCATTGGCACAAGGATTTCAAAGCGTGCCTGACCCTGTACCATACAGATGGTAAGGCAACTTGGAGTTTGAGAGTACTAAGAAATTATAGAAGAAATCTCCAGGGAATGTCAAAGTCAGCTAACACTCTTCTCTTTTCCTTGGAGTTTGTGAAATTCCTTTTCATTCAATCCTGATGTAATGCTGAGTAATAAAAAGTAGTGTGTTCTTCAGCACAACACATCTCTGGAAGCCCTTTAACCAGCCTCTGTTAGTCATCACTATACTCACAGGCTTAGGGCCAGTGCCATTCACATTTCCCTCTGTTCTGCAGCAGACAGACGGAGTTCTTCTAATCCTTCTGTCTCTTCTTCCCCATCTCTCTAAAACTCTTCTGTAAGGGAGGAACAGCTATAGCTTTGGGGATAATATAGCTTTAAGGCAACTTTTGGCAAATGTTAACGTCCTAACATCTGGGCAGTGTTAACAGAATCCCGGAGGCCCAGACAGACCAGGAGCCACTCGTTCTAGGAATGTTAAAGTAGAAGTTTGTTGTTCCCCCC